GCCCGGCCCGCCGTGCCCTCTCGCCTCCCGCAGCCCCCCGGGGGCCGCTCTCCGGCCGAAGCGCTCCCCCGGGGGGATGGACGCGCCCCGCTCCCCCCTTTCATTTCCTTATTCTGGGGAGCGTCTTCTTCCACCGGGCTCTGGTGGAAAGGGCAGCGTGAGCCGGGGTTTGCCACAGGTTGCCCTGGCTGGCCTGGCCCTGACACTGAAATGGAGACTTCGCTGCAAGGCACAGAGTGCATTTAACTTGTGCGTTTTCGGGGTGGGACTGGGCCCTGTCAAATTAGAGAAACTCTGGGCAAGCTGCAAATACAAGATAGGAGTGAAGATGCTACTTTCTGAAACTTTGATCGTGCTTTTTTATGAGTTCAGAGTTACAGCAAGACAAAGAATTTTTTCACTGCTCTGTTTTTAGGCAGCTACAGCCTACCAAAAGACCCATACACTATCTCATGATAAGGATGGCTTCCCAAGGGAAGCTAAAATGCCAGTTCAGTTGAGTCGAGCATCTTAAACTATAGGCTGTATTTGTAAACAATTTATGCTAGAACAAGGATCTTCATATATTTAACAAAGTAATCTCCAAGATGTTGCTCATCTTTCACCCTTCAGGCTTAGAAGTTTAACATGAAAATTTTCCAAATTAATTCTAATATTGCGCAACTTCTTGTCTTTGAGAAACCAAAAAATGGCAATGAAACTGTTGTACAAAATGTACATAAGCTGTACTGCAGAATCATTTAGCAGTATTCTTTATACTTTTTGATGTAGTTACATCCTCAGTAAAGAGCGTTCAGTGAATTCTAATGCCAACTTTTATTATGACTAGGTTTCTCAGGCTGCAGCAGACTTGAAGCAATTCTGCCTGCAGAATGCACAACATGATCCCCTATTGACAGGAGTATCATCAAGTACAAATCCATTCAGACCCCAGAAAGTTTGTTCATTTTTGTAATTACGTGAACTACTCCGGTATCTTTCAGTGGTAAGTTCTTGAGTTACATTTCATAAAATGTTCTGTCATTAAAAATAGCTGGCTTTAAATAAGACTGCCTGCATTAAAAGTATTCAGAAGAGACATGAGACTTCTGCAGCTGGTGTTAGTCTGGATCCCCATTTTGGGCCCCTCCTCCCCTGTTCTGGTTGTAGCTCTGTGCTGGACACATGCTGTTCGTAAGTATTGTGAGTGGCATTTAGCTCTTGCAGATCTTTCTTACACCAGTTTCTGTTGCTGCAGCAAAGTAGCTGTGGGCCCAGCTACTACTGAGCTGCTCTTTGGACTAACCTGGCTATATAGTAATTCTGCTGTATCTGCCTTCTGTGTAAGGGTGTCATTTCCCTTTTCTCACGTAGGATTATTCGCCTGACAGCATGCATGGTGAATCCTGATTGTGGCAGATAAAGCAGACTTCAGTTCTTAAACTTTGAAAGAGCACTTCTGGAGATAGGTTACTGGTGGTCTCCAAGAAGAGCAGTGTCCCCTATAGGACACGCCTTCTAAGTCAAAAGAAAAAACTATGTAGTCCAAGAATTGTGTCAAGGCCCATACCCCCCTCAAATAAGCTACTACATGGGTAGCAGTTTAAATAATTAGAAACAGTTGAATACTCATTTGGATTTTCATTCCAAAACTTCTATAGGTTCATTAGCACTACTGCTGTCACTGTGAAGACTACTAATCTGGCATTCCTTGAAAATCCTGGTAATTAGATTTTAGACTAACCTATTTAGAAAGGTGAGTTTTAGATCCACAGTAGTCTCACCAGGACTCTGAGAGTCACAATAATTTGATATTTTGCCCACAGTAGATGCATGATCATTTTACTATGTCCCTCTTCCCCATTGCCCCTTGACTTGCATCTGCTGGAGGCAAGAGCATGTATATTATTTCAAAGCACCTGATACGCAGTTAACTATAGTTCACAATCCTTAGAAATCTCATAGCAAGCCTTAACCTTAAAGAATTCTGCTTTTGTAGCTGACCTATATCACCCAAAGAATTGTAGTTTGCTAGATTTAAGTTGTGTTACTTAAGCAGCTTTATAGAAAGGTGACCACAGTCAGACTGAGTTGCTAAATTGTTCTTTAAAATTGTTCTCCCCTCAAGCAGACTGTAGAAAGCTTCCAGAAAGTTTGTGTATAAACAAGGGGGTTCATGCTAGTAAAGACCAGCGTAGTAACAGTATAGAGGTTGATGCTTAACTATTTAACAAATAAAACCACTTCTCCCATTGTTTTGAGCAATGAATTACAGCAGTGTAACTGAAATGTGCTTTAGAGTTCTTGCAGCTTTTAAAGTTATTTCTATTGTGAATTTTATCAACTATTCTTATTTAAAAGATACTATTTTTGGACACCAACTTGTGTTCACACTACTGTAGCTTTAGCTTTAAGCAGTAATTCAAGGAAGAAATCACATCATCTGTAAGCATTATAGACTGATAACCTATAAAAGCCAAATAAACCGTACTTTAATCAGTGACACATACAGTTCCCCACTGAGCTTTGCCAAGGTCTACTAATTCCTGGGTGTGGATGTCAGGAAATAACATTTACTGTCTCTCACACGCGTGTACATACACGGGGCATAAACGGCTTAATGTTGTCTTTTTCTCAATTACAGCCCTTATCTTCCCCCTTTCCGATTTTGGAATGGAGCACTTGTTTCTGCTGATGTTACAGGCAAAAGTCATTAGAACAGCAGTTTTAGTTACACTACCTATATGGAAAATTTCTTTTCTTCACTACCTCTTGCAAGCACTTCCTCAAAATTGGCAATTTCTTAGTTGTAATCCTGGTGTTTTCACGATGAGCCAACAGAGTTCATGTTTGCAGTCAGCACCGCATGAACAGACTCCCCTGCTTTTCAAAGGCAAAGGAGATGCCTGGTATTTCTGTAGGCACCAGGTGACTGGGAACAACTTTTTCTGTCCTTCCACTTAGCAATTTGGCTTCCAGGAGACACTAAGCTTCAGTTCTTTTGTAACAGCTTTGATTATCTTCTTGTACCCTCAGGGACAGCTTTGTGGTTTTAAAAGTTTATAAAATAAACTAATAGTTTTATAAAACAGCTGTGGAAAAAGAGGATTTTTTTTTTCCTAAATAGCTGTCCATGGCATACTCTGAATGTACATGTTCTTAGACATAGAGTTGCTTCATTTAGCACTGATACTTTACTAACTACATTTTGGTTTTGTTTTCCAGATCTTTTAGCATCTTTTCCTAGCTGCTGATGTGTGTATGGGCAGAGTGCCTCAAGGAGCGGCCTGGTTTGAAGTCTGTACAAAAGCTTAGCTTTAACGTGCCAAATCTAACTGTAAAATTGCTACTGTCGTCAAACCTCTTACCATCTACCTCTCCAAATGAACTGTATGCTAGTCACAATACTTCTGTTTCATAAGGGAATCAGTTTTATATGCCAAGCGAAAAATAAATGTGTCTTGACTTAGCCTGGTCTCGAAATTCCTGTAACAAGTTGATTAGCTTCTGGATATGTTGACTCCTCACCAGTTACTGCATCACTGTGCAGCAGCTGGAGAGCATATACAGGAGTCTGTCTTCAAATATTCCGTGCTGCTGCAAGTTTGCCTGGGATTCATAGTCTTACAGAACAGTGAGCCTTCATCAGTACTACACTTGGAAGCATAATAGAAATAGAACAGAAAAAAAAATTGTGGCTGTTTGTAATTCAACTATACAGCTGGCCCGTATAGACATTAAATAAAGACAAAGAGTAACTTAATTATTATTTATCGTAAGGAGTAATTCTACCTTAGTAGATTACTTAGTCTATGAGCCATCTTACTCTTTAGATAAATGTGAAAAAGCACTTATAGCTGCATATGAAAAGAATGTAATTCAAAGAAAACTTAGCTTTTTAGCTGTCAGTCAGTGTGCAAACTTAAGAACACTAGTTCATTCTGCAGGTAATACCAACTCAAGTATAGCTATGAGGCTGAAGAAGCTTTTTTAAGATTTTAATGGGAAAAACCCTGCTCAGAGACCTCACATGTTCAACTGAGCAGCATTTTTGGATGAGATTGCTTTATGTACTTCCTGTAACCTGGCCTTACAAATTCTTTCCCGTTGGTGTTTATTTCTGTTTATAAACAAGAATATCAACTGCTTTGGGCATATATCTCTTCTAAATATCACATTTACAGAAGAGATGCCTGTAGGAGTCAAGCACATTATTTTTGTAACTACAGCGACATAGCTATTTTATGCAAGATGTTAATGAAATAGAATACCACAGACTTCCTGGATTGCATACAACCTTCTCAAATGTTCTCTAGATAGGGAGATCATTTTTGGAAAACTACCACCATACTGTCAGGGAACAGGAGGCTGTAAGTTAGAAAGAGGTTTAAAATATTTCTCTCTCACCTGATTAATGGCAGACATCTGGGTTTAGCTGCTTAACAGAAAAAAAAGCTGTATAACTAGAAATACTTTATTTTGAGAATATCTTTAACCAAAGTATTTACTGTCTGTGATGTTGCAAAGTGTAATTTATCTCTACAGCACAGCAGCAGTCATGGCAAATCTTCAGTGATAGCTAAATTACAGGCTGCTCTGACATCACCATAGTTTTTCCTGCTTGACTGGAAAAAGAGTCACTGTCCTTGTCATGCTGGATTTAGCTAAAAACATAGGAAGAAAGATGCATCCGACTTGATCTGCTCCTGTATAAGGTTTTAATGTTTGCAGTTTGTCTTTCTGCAGACAGATACTGTTCAGTATTGTTATCATTAGTTAGGAGCCTGAGATAATCCATAGTTCAAAGCAGTTGTATTTCTGGTCACCAGCAGCTGGCAGATAGCTGTCCCTTATAAGTGAAATTTTCTTCTATTTGTGTCCATTTCTCGGCGCTGAAATTTAAAAGAAAAGTTATTAACCAGCAAATTCATGCAACAGGATACAAACAAGGATGACGACTCCAGTTTATAGTAGGGTAGGTAGTGAAATGTGTCACGGTTACAGTGTAGTTGAGTCGTTACAGTCAGCTTTTCAAGACTAACAAGGGAGAAGAATTAGAGACTAGCGATTTAGAACTAAAGAACATATAGCAATTCTCCATCTAGTGATGGTAGACAAAGCATCTTTAAAACAAACAAGATTATCCATCTCATGGACTACACCAGGAGTATTCGAATTTTCCTTCTGGTATAGCTTGGATACTCACTTCCAAGTTTTGCAAATCAACTGCAATTCCACAGAAAAAATGACTGGAAAAGAAATTTATCATTGCCTAGAGTAATACTTCCATTTCACTTGAAGATGTGCACGGGTCAGTGTTACTTTCCATTCACTATTAAGAAGTGACATTTACGTAAATAGCTTAATCATTTTTACATTATGATTCTTGCACTCACCTTGCACAAAAATAGCTCTAGTCAAGCTTACTAGGCTTCCAATAACAGCTTATACCAAGGGAGCATTTTGCTTATATCTGTGTATGTTAAAGAAATTCCATTCTGCAAATAAGTAGTCATGGTATATTGATATTCATCACCCTTGCTATTTTTATTTTTGACTTGCAATATAGCAGAATGCTTCTACTTTGCATATTTCTCAAAATACACCTCTAAATATTTCAGTTAAACACTTCCATATTGAGAACTGCCTTTATACCGCTTTTTTAGGCTAAGATTTGTGGTTACATTTCCTGTCAGATTTAGTCTCCCTTCCCAAGCAGGACTATTATTGTTACTTAGACATACCTTATGAATCCATTCGTATTCTCCAAATTTGGAATCAAAGGTTCCTTTTTGAAGAGACCTCAGCTTTAATGTAAAACGTGGCCCAAGTTCTTGAATTCCCACTTTCTTTTCACTCTTGAAAATATATCTTGGGGAAGAAAAAAAATAAAAATTAGGAAGTAAGTTACAAGAGCATTCTCTCTCATTTGTGAGTTTTGCGGAAAACGTCACCTGTGGAATCTGAAAAAGATGTAGTCTCTCTGGTTGTGAAATGTAGCTACTTGTCTTCCAATGAACTGAGGATCATGTGGGAACAGAGAAGCAAACATGCGACCAACAGAATGGCCGAGTCGTGTTGTAAAATTGTTCAGGATTACTTCAGGCACGTGTTCTGTGGGCTCTTTCCCTTTTTGCTGAAATGAAAGTAGTAGATAAGAACACAAAGAATAGATGGAATGCAAAAGGGTTTTAATACATTATCAAAGAAAAGTTTGAAATAAAATAGGGGGAAGACAACCAGGGCCAACTTCTTGTAACAACGGCTGATAACATGCCCTGATCATTTTTTCAAATACAACCTAAGTTCATACACAAGTAAAGGAGCAGCTGGCAATGTAAGGATCTTCGGTTCAACAATATAAATTGAATGAAAAAGCACAAATAATTGTACGTTTCCTCTCTCCTCCACCAATCTCCACTCCTGGCAGCACCCGTTACAGCAAATAATGCAGTACTTATCACAGGAGTCTTCTATCGGTACTAATGCCAACTAAGAGTATATGGTACTAAGAGTATATGGGATTCTTTTTTAATAAGAACAGATGAAGTTTAAAAATTACTTCTTTCAAAAGAGAAGAGAAACCATTTTACTGCAAATTATTTAGGGCTAAGTAAGCAATACTTACTACAGAAGAGGTGACAGGGCTGTAAGAATAAGAAAAACTAGGTTTTATTCAAGACTAGGAACTACATCTATTGAAATCTTTTATACTGCTGATTGTTATATACCTTATTGTGTGTATACTATACATTGGGTATTTCCTGTTGATGTAGGTTATCAGCTGCTATTTATTGGCACGACTATAAAAATACTTGGCAAACAGTTAAAGAAATTCAGCAAATAACTATGAAAATGAAAATAAGCTGCTTATGGAAGTAGAATATACTAGTCCTTGGCCTCCTGTTAGCTTACCAAAAAAACATCTTTACAAGATCAGCTGAATCATACAGAAGTGCAACCAGTTTTGACAGTTCAAGTAGACTGAACATATTTATTATTAAACAACAGACTACCCATTTTTTTAAATTTTGTTGGAGTCTCACCTTTATTTCTTTACGCAAACGGACACTGCTCATTCTAAAATGAGCGGTTGGACCATCAGGCAGATGACTTAAAACAAGACCATCTGTTCACAGAGTTAATAAAAAAAAGGCTGGTAAAATTCAACATGTAATTTACAGTGGAACATTTTCTGCGAAAAACAGTATCATATTAGAATCTTATATCCATAATCTATGCCTGATTTACAAGGTTTCATTATATTTTTGCAGTGTGCTGAAGTATGTCCATTAAATTTTGTTTCAATAGGTAACCAGAGTTACCTTCTATGGCTTTTTCACTTATTAATTAGTAATGTTTTATCTAGTCAGCAAAACTAAATGGAACTTCCTGGTCAGAAAAACTTGTTAATTAATCAAACTGTTAAGTTTACTGAAATAATAACAATGTTTATCCATGCATTACAAACTAAAAAAAAACCAAACCAAAACAAACAAAAGCCAACACACTTTCTTTAGTAATTCCAAGTTCCATTAGCCATCAGATATTCAAGTTGGCACAGTCATTTTTAACTCTGTAGTTACACTGTAAGCTGCACAGTGAAGAGAAAAAAATCCAGAATAAAGTAGATCTTTGACGCACACTACAGAATTTTTCTTTTCCCTAACAGGCCCAGAGCTAGTATACCTATTTTAATAAATACACAAAAGGATACTTGGTATTTTGCGATCTTCATTAATGACGATTAAATCCGTGAAGTCCCTTGCAATACACTGTGGAATAATTCTTTTCAAAGCCAGTCCTCTTCGATAGTAGACATGCGAGTTAGGTATAACACTAGACAGTTGTTCACAGAATCTCACTGTTCTCTGCAAATCAGGTGAGTTAAATTGCAATGTGGTAAATACAGTGTCAAATTCAAATATTAGGGGAATGGAGGGTTGCTCATTCCAACTGCCCTCCCTAATGATATATTACTTCCAGTATCTCTCTAAACATTGGAAGACAAGCTATTAAATTACTTCAGTCAGTCAGTGGAAAAAATTTTATTTGCAGTAAAGACTGCAGCACACCAGGAACTAACTTTTTTTTTTTTTAAAAGGATTTTTTCTCCTCCTTCAATCATAGAAAAGCAGGAAAATTCCAAAAGTATAACCTCCAAACTCATTATTTATTAAGGACATTGGTTTACAAAAGGTTCATAACATTTCAAAATACAATATAACTATTACTTCAGGTACTAATGCCTGAGTCTCCAGATAAACTGTTTGAGGTGTACTTTTTCCTATTTTTAAAACCACTTTTATGGTTTTCACAAATGTCAGTAATCTCCCCAATTAGGTAATGCAGATCATTTGCATACAAGAACATATGCATGAGGTTGTTTTTTGTTATGAAGGAAACAAACAGTGCTAGAGAAACTAATAGATTACATACATATACAAGATTATTGACAGTCACTAAATAAAACAGCAGGAAAAAATCCATGTGAAAACTATTATTTTCAGCTTTAATTTACCAATTGTGGTATGAAAACCTTGGTATCTTATAACCAGTTGATTGCTCAGAACTCTCCGAGTAACACTTACGTACCCCACGAGGTCTGTCTGATGTTGTAATAAGAATCTTGGGAACCGTCTGTCTGTTGAAATATGGTGCAAATTCATCAGTTGCTTCATCAAAAGCAACCTGGAAGAACAGAAATCTTGTTAATCCACCATATATGAAAAAATTGAAGAACAATTGTTCAATCTGATCTAAATTCTGATGAAATTGAATTTAGTAGGAAAAACTTCAATTCACAAGATCTATCCTATAATTTATCATCACAAGGCATGTGTTTTTTACAAGAATATAGTGTGATGAAGATTGATTGACAGGTTTTGCTATCAATAACAGTAATTCAAAAGGTAATTATCTAATGTAGTTAATGAAAGAATGACATCACTTCTTAGTAAACCCATCACATGTAAAAAGTAATTCATCAACACCTTAACAGAAGAGTGGTGGATGTTAAGTTTCAGCAATCCATTTTACGTCCGTTCTTGGAAAAAAAAGGTTGAGTTAATAGCATATGCAGAAATTAAGCAGTTACCTCTTCATCATTGGGATCTACAGTTGTTTCGTCATACACTCTCTGATTTTCAATAGTCTTTGGTATGGCTTTTGGAGGTGCCTAAAATAAATAAGTTTATTAACATAACACGTTCATGTAATTTTTAAGTGTATTGTGAAAAACACATTCATACTACCATGATATTGTGTATATTTCTACACAGAATTAGAAGTATTATTTATTTTATGCCAGCTTTTAAAAAGAAGTTACGTTACCTTGATTAAAAATATGCACGGGTATTGGGACACCAGAGACCATCACACAGAGAAGCATTGCTAGAACAGTGACACTGCTTAATTTCAGCCTACTTAAGAAATGGGGTTCCAAAACGAAACAAAAAAAGGGAAAGGAGAGGAACTTTATATTCACTTCTCTTCTGTGGAAGAAAAAAGCTCTACTTTCAACAGCAACACATTTTAGCGTTGACATCTACAATGTAATGATAATAGCCTATAAAGTTTACCCTGTTTACTTACACTACTCTTGTGAGGTTCAATTCTATGATAATAATACAGGAACTCAAAACTGTCTTCAACTGTCAATATGGTTTTGAAGTAGTTCAGGAAAAGAAGCAAAATGCTTGTTCGTGGCTAGATTTGGAAACAAGCAGACAACTGGTCTGGGCAGGGACTGGTCAGATCTGATTGTTTTAATTTATACAGAAATTACTTATTAGAGTATAATTCCTAATAACATCCACACAATGCCATAGCAATTACATCGGACTGAGAAGGCTTCTCAGGAAGAGCCTGCTTTTATGACGTTATTAGCTTAAAACTCACCCTGCCCGATTACAGCATCATTTAACGCAGTACCAACAACGCTTCTGGGCTCATCCGTTTGGTACCTCCACTATCCAACACCTGATACTTCCACTACCCAGCGCGGTGCCTCTGACGGCTGCCGCGGCCAGCGAGCACCGAGATCCCTGCTCCACTCCACTGCAGTCCGTGGAGACACCGCTTCACTCACGAAACTGAAGCAGCCCCAGAGCCAGGCCGAGCTGAAGAACTACCGGCGGGGCGGGCTCTTCCCCGCTGGCGGCGGAGCACCCCTCCCCGCGGCCGGGACGGCCGCCCCACGCTGCGCCCGGAGCCCTTACTTTGTCTCCGAGGGCTTCTCGCTCCTTTCTCCGCTTCTTCTTGGCGGCCAGTTTCTCCTAGCGGGAGAGGGAGAGGGAGAGCGATCCGTTAGCCAGACCCGCCGCCCCGCCGCGGCCCC